CGTCGGATGCCAGTCTGGCGGTCGGCGGAGGGACGTCGGAGGACTTATCTCCGCTAGGACGTGCGCAGGTGGGCAGTGCTGCCGCTGGTCAGCTGGACCACCCAGCATCGATTGTTTTCACCCGTTCGGCCGACGACTGTGCTGCGGGGGCCGCTGATGGGGTTGCGCTCCTAGCTGGTAGCCGCCAACTCGGTTCATTCACGGATAGATGGAGGCACGGGGGGAGGAACGCGGCCCAGTGTCGGCAGTCAGTGCGTCAGCCCCTTCGGCAGATGCGTTGGCATTGGTGGGCCTTGATGGTCCCGACGGAGTGGGTGACGGTGTTGGCGCTGTCGTTGGCGACCGAGCGGTGGTGTGCAGAGGCATGCCATGGCAAGGAGGGACGTCGGTGTCCTGCGTGCGGCGCACGGTGTACGCTAGCAGCGAGCCTGGTGGCCGTTGCGGATGCCTCTGCGTGACCATCGGCGCGGCGCAGCACAAACCGCGTGAGCGACGCTCGCAGCGGCGCCCAGGTGGCCAGTAAGGACGACGATGCCATGGGCGAAGTGCCGTGGTCTGACGACTGGGCTTCTCAACCCCGGGGGCTGTACCCAGGAGATCTAAGAGAATAATAAATTGGGAGGGGGGAGAGCGGAGGGAAGCAAGCTACCAGTTCATGTCCTCAGTATTGCTCGATCCAACGTTCCTGTATGCTACTACTCGTTGCTGTTTACCAAGGCTCGCGCCCGCAGAGCCCAGGCTGGCAGGCCGCTCCTCCAACGCGAGGCGCAGTGGCTCATCCCCGCCATCAGCGTCCAGATGCGGCGCTAGGAGCAGGACAGGCGAGGACCTCCGATCGGCCGCGCGCGAGGAGAGAAGCAAGCTGGGTGCGCTCGCGCATCGTCGGCGCTAGGAGCAGGACAGGCGAGGACCTCCGATCGGCCGCGCGCGAGGAGAGAAGCAAGCTGGGTGCGCTCGCGCATCGTCCGATCATCTGACACCCGATCCCCCTCCCTCCCATCCCTTCCCACGGCGCTGAATTGTCTCTACCCGCGGACTCGTGTCACAGCCGACTTGCGGCTTACACAGAACGACCGATTCGTGTTATGCACAATCGGAAGACGGGGAGCTGCGTGCACAGGAGGAGGAGGATGAGGAGGTGGTGGATGAGCAGGAGGATGAGTGGGAGGAAGAGAATGAGGACGAACAGCGGCAGCAGCAGGAAATGAAGCAGGAGGATCGGGAGGGAAAGGAAGACCAGAGGAAGGCGAAGGAAAGAACATGAAGGGGGCGACAACGATGAATAAACACGCGGATTCAGAAAAGTGGCCCGCGCTGAGGCGAAACGATCAGCAGCAGCAAGAATTGCAGCGTAGGGAGCGGGAACAACAGGAGGACCAGGGGAAGGCGGAGGAAGGGAAATGATGGAGGGGGACCACAATGAAGCAATATTCAAATCGAGAAAACTAGCCCGTGCCGGGGCGAGAGCGCCATCTTGAACGACAGGAGCAATGCGCCGATCCGACCATGAGTCCCGCGCTGCTGCGGGAACACCAGTTTGCAACTCCGAAACACTTGACAAACAACAACGAGTGTTGAAATCTTGTGCGCAACAACAAACAGCATGCGGAGGGGGCGGGGGAGTTTCCAGACAACTTCAGGGGAGGAGGGAGAGTAGCATTCGTATTGCTCAATTGTGGATGAAAAGGAGGGAATTTGGGATTTCGGCGCTGATGATGCTGGGGGCTTGTCAGCAGAAAAAGGGAGGCGGGAGGGAGGGAAGGAGGGAGGGATGAGGAGAGATGAGGGAGGAGAGAAGAGGGGGGATGAAGGGAAGGAGGGAGGAGAGAGGAGAGAGGAAAGAGGCAAGCTAGGTGCGCTCGCACCGTATCTGACATCCGATCCGTCCCTCCCTTCCCTTCCCATTGCGCTGTTTCTATCCGCGGACGCGTGTCATAGCCGACGTGGAACTTCAAACAAGACCCCATCGTGATATGCGCATTCGGGATAGTGGAGCTGCGCACATAGGAGGGGGAGGAAGAGGAGGAGGATATGCAAAGAAGATGAGTGGAAAGAGTGGGAGGAGCAGAAGGACCAGGGGAAGGCGGAGGAGGGAAAATGAGTAGGGCGTCGACGATGAAAAATATTTGGAGGCGAAAGCACCATTCTGAACGACGGCAGCAAAGCGCCGATCCGAAAATGAGGCCCACGCTGCAGCGGGAGCACCATTTTTGAAACATCGAAAACAATAATATTGCAAAATTAATCGAAGGAACCAGCCAAGTTTGAAATCCCGTGCAAACGACAAGTACGCGGAGAGAATCGGTTATCTTCCCGGCGGAGCCAAGAGAGAGAGCAGAGTCGTTTCATAATGTGTAGGTTGGGAGGGAGTTGGGGAGGAAAAGAGAGGAGGGAGTGAGGGGAGAGGGAGGGAGCAGGAGGGAGCAGGATGAGGAGGAGGAGGAAGAGGAGGGAGAGGAGTGAGGAGGGAGGTAGGGAGGGAGGAGAGAGGAGGACGAGTTAAGTGCACGCACGCTGTATGTGTCATCCTACCCATCCCACTCATCCCTCCTCGTTGCACTGATGTGTTTTTGTCCGCCGACGGATGTTCAAGCAGACTTCGATTCCCAAAATGGCCACATCGTGTGATGCGGAATCAGAAACGGGACCCGTGTACGGTGGAGGAGGGTGGAGGAGGTGGAGGAGGAGGTGGCAGATGAGCAGGAGGATGAGCAAGAGGATGAGGAGGAGGAGGAGGACCAATGTAAACCCAAGACCCGGCAACGATATTGCAACACATCCTTCCCTTAAGTTCCTTTCTCATACGCTTCTACATGAAATTCATTTTCCCTCGAGGAAATGCCCCGTTGGAAGGCAACCGTTTGAAAATCCCGAATTGTGCCAGAACCCTATCCCTGGGATTTCAACGCCGCGATTATTGCTGCGTCTTGACGATCCTGAATCGTGTCCGAACACCATTCCTGGGACTTCAATATTATGAAGCAATGCAACCGTTGCGCCTTGACATTCCGACATCGAGCCAAAAGGCCATTTCTGGGACGCTAGCCATGAGAATCCTTGAAGCTCTTGCGAACTATTAAGACGAACGCGCGCGGCGCTGAGGCGAGAGCAACACGTTCAAACGGAACCGCGCTCCATCCGCAAAACTTTCGCAAGCTTTACAACAATGTGCGCGGCGCTGGGGCGAGAGCCACATCTTGAAAACGGACCGCCCTCCATCCGTGAACCTTTCTCAAATATCTATAACGAATGTGCCTGGCGCTGGGGCTGGAGCTCCATGTAGAAGGCGGACCGCCCTCCATCAGCGGAGTTGTGGCTATTTCCTACGACGAGCGCGCGCGGCGCTAAGGCGCCAGCCACATTTTGAATGCGGGCTGCCCCCATCCGTGAAGTTGTCGCGAATCTCGAGCTTCGGGAGCATGACTGGTGAGGAAGTCTCGGGCGAAACGCCCGGTCCGCCGTTTCGACCAGCCGGGAGGCGCGACAGGGAGGATATGCTCATAAGGAAAAGGATAGGAGGAGGAGGAGGAGGAGGAGGAGGAGGAGGAGGAGGAGGAGGAGGAGAGGAGGAGGAGGAGGAGGGAGGAGGGAGGAGGAGGAGGAGGAGGAGGAGGAGGAGGGAGGAGGGAGGAGGAGGAGGAGGAGGAGGGAGGAGGAGGAGGAGGAGAAAGGAGGAAGCTGGAGGAGGAGCAGCAGCAGCAGCAAGACCAGGAGCAGGAGGAGCGGAAAGAGCAGGAGGGCCCGGGGAAGGCCGAGAAGGGGAAAGGAGGGGAGCGAAAACGAGAAGGATTCCGATCCACAAGAGTGGCCCGCATTTGGGCGAGAGCGCCATTCCGAACGACGAGCGCAAACGCCGATTCTGAAATAAGGCCAACGCTGCAGCGGGAGCACCATTGTCAAATATTGGAAACGTCCTGAGTGAAAACAAAAGCCATGTCAGATATCACTTTTGAGTTCATGTGCAATACCAGACAGTATGCGGGAGCAAAGGGGGCCCGCCCGGACAGTATTCGGAGAGAGAGAGGAGAGTATTCTTATCATCGAGTATTGTTGGAGGGCGAGGTGGAGGAGGAGGAGGAGGAGGAGGAGGAGGAGGAGGAGGGAGGAGAGAGGAAGGGAGAAGGGAGAGACGAAGGAGGTAGGAGGGAGGAGGGAGAAAGGAGGGAGGCAACTGCGCTCAGATCACATCTGACGTCCTACCCCTCACCCCATCCTTTACCACTGCGTAGATCCACTCTTTATTCGCACAGTCGGATGTTGAAGAGGGCAACGATCCCCAAAGGGTACGCGATGCATAGGATGTAGTGGCATCGCACTGCGTAGGAGAGCACATCAGAACGTGGCATGGCATAGCATGGCATTGCACTGCGGTGCATCATATAGCCTTGCATGGCATGCCATGGCATGGCACGGGACAATATAGCATGGTATGGTGTTGCCTACCCCAGTTTTGCATATCGCAGCATTGCGGAGCAAAACACAGAAATCACAGACATAAAATGATGGCGAAACATGACATAAGATTGAATTCCATACCATTGCTCCGTGAACCGTGCAGCCAGAGAGCCATGTTGGAGGACCGACAATGTGGAGATGAGGCTGGTCTTGCTGCGGGAAGCACATTCATTATTGAAGAGCGGACATGAGGCCCGCGTTGCAGCGGGAGCAAACATCGGAAGGCCCGAGAACGCAGAAGTGAGATTCACGCTGAGGTAGGAACACGAACTTGAAGGACCAGAAGCGCGGACATGAGGAGAGAGGAGAGGGAGGGAGAGGAGAGGAGAGGAGAGGAGAGGAGAGGAGAGGAGAGAGGAGAGAGGAGAGAGGAGAGAGGAGAGAGGAGAGAGTAGAGAGGAGAGGAGAGGAGGGAGGAGAGGAGAGGAGGGAGGAGAGGAGGTAGGAGAGGAGAGGAGAGGAGAGAGGGAGGAGAGGAGAGGAGGGAGGAGAGGAGGGAGGAGGGAGGGAGGGGAGGAAACGGAGCGGAGAGAGGGAGGGAGGAGGCTTCCAGGTGGGAGTGAACTGCGTCCCTGGACCGCCCGCGCCAGGGCCCGCCGGCCCGCGCACGCGAGCGGAGCGGGCGCTTCATGCTGGCCGCTCCCCGCCGCCGTCGTCGCCGCAGTGCTCGTCTTCGTCGTGGTCGTCGTCGAGGGCGTCGTCGAGGTCGCCGCCGCCATGGTCGAGGTCGTCGTCGTCGTCGTGGTCGTCGTCGTCGTGGTCCTGGTCGTGGTCCTGGCCGGGGTCGCCGCCGTCGTGTCCGCCCCCTGCCGTCGCTGCCGTAAGAGTCACTGTCGTGGTCCCAGGCAAACTACGGCCTTTGCTGAAGGCTCGCGTCGGATCCTAGAGTTTTTCTCGCCTCGGTACGCCAATTCCAGCAGCTGCGCCTCGCCGAGAGCGTTCCTGGGGGGCCAGAATCGTCCCAGATTGCCACCAGAGGCCCGACTTATGGTCTGAAAACCTGGCTCTCCGACGATGCGTTTTTATCATTCGGGGGTGTGTTCCTCGATTTTGGGCTCCTGGGTCCCGTTGTCGGTCCCTGGTAACAGTCGAGGTGGGGCGAAAAGTGACTCAGGGATGGCGTCGATGCCTCTGGGGTCGCACATTGAGAAATCACATCGTCGGATGTCTGGGGTCGTCGCCGTCGTCGTTGCCTCTTTGTCGTGGTCGTCACCGTCTCCGCCATGGTTGAGGTCGCCGTCGTTCGGCGGCGAACCCCGGGGGGGAAAGTGAGAAGGAAAAGGCCTTCTCAGAAGGCTCGGAAGTCTCCCGGCCTTCTGAGAAGTTTTCTAAGCCTTCCCCGAAGACACAGAACATGTCTCAGAAGGCCTGAGGGCGTCTGAGAGGTCCCGCCGCCGCCTTTGAGAGGGCCTTCTCCTTCTCACTTCCCCCCCACGCTCCCCGAGGAGTCGTCGTCGCCGTGGTCGTGTCGTCGTGGTCGTGGCCGCTGTGGTCCTGGACGTGGTCGCGGTCGTCTTCTTCGCCAGTGTCGCCGCCGCTCGTCGTCGTCATCGGCATGTTCGTCGTCCTCGTCGTTTTTGAGGATCGAGGGGTGGTTTTCGAGTGTATTTGTTTTGGGGCACTATGATTGCATTGTTTGTGGTCTCGAGGGGGGAGGCACCCACGTGACAACGTCTGAACTCGCCTCGAGGTCCTGGTCAAAACGCAGCCCAGGAGAGGTCCAGGGTTCGATCGCCGTCGTCGCAGCCGACGTCGTCATCGTCGTTTTCCAAGTTCATGCCGCTGCCCTCGTCGGCGTCCTCGTCGCCACCGTCGTCGTCGTCCTGGTTGTCGAGGGTCATGGGTTGTTGATCGACACTCGAGGATCCATTTTGTTGCATGTTGTATTGTTGCTGCGTGTTTGGATGGGATCGTGAGGACGATATTGTGGCCACGGCTGAGTATGCTCGGTATCCTGCTCATAGTGGGTTCCAGGAGAGGTCTGATGGCCGTTCTCGTCGCCGTCGTCGTCGCGACGACGTATTCGTCCTCGTCGTCGTCGGCGTCGCCCCCCTCCTCCACGACTGGCGAGTACAACGGCGACGAGGTCGGAGGGGAGGAGGCGGAGGACGATTGCGGGGAAGAAGAGGTCGGTAAGGAGGGTTTTGGAGGAGGATTGTGGAGGATTGTGGAGGAGGAGGAGGAGAAGGAGGAGGAGGGCATGGATGACGATAACGACGCGGTCGCAGAGGAGGAGGAGGAGGAGGAGGAGGAGGAGGAGGTGGGGAAAGAGGATGACGGGGAGGATAACGACGTCGGTGAGCAGGAGGAAGCGGAGGCAGAGAAGGAGAAGTTTCAGGAGGAGGAGGAGGAGGAGGAGGAGGAGTACCAGGTCGGTGAGGAGGAGGGGGAGAAGAAGGAGGAGGAGGAGGAGGAGGAGGAGGGGGAGGAGGAGGAGGAGGAGGAGGAGGGGGAGGAGGAGGGGGGAGTGGAGTGGAGTGGAGTGGAGTGGAGTGGAGTGGAGTGGAGTGGAGTGGAGTGGAGTGGAGTGGAGCCCGTTTCGTATGCAAGTCTGTCCTCTGAACCCTTAAAGTGTGCTCGATTGCCTAGCCTTCCTCTCGGCTTGGCTGAGGACCTTGGGCTTGAAACCAGCCGCCAGTCTGTCGAGGTATTATCGCTGGGTTCTGTTCATCTGCTCACGACACTGTCGCCCCAAGAGGCGATGCTGCTTCTTGGCGATGGCGCCACACTGCGTACAAAACCAAACCCTGAGAGTCGTCTTAACATTCAAGATGTGGGTGGGATGAGCCCACCCCCCATGATGTGGATGCGATCCCATTTCTTCGAGGACATAAACACGCCGTCCGTTATATAACTGCGGGCAGGGTGCGGAGCGCCAGGCTTTCACGCAAGCCTTGGAGGCCGACCCGAAACATCTGTTACGGTGCTGCTTATCTTCAGTGAAAGCATGGGGAGAGAAGAGGGCGGAGACAGCAACAGCAGAGGGAGGAGGAGGAGGCAGGGGCGCAGCAGCAGCAGCAGAGCGCCCTTGCTCCTCGGACCATCGGCCGCCTCGGTGGCCGTCATACTGCCGATCGTTGCTCTGAGGAGACGCTGCCTGACCAGGTATGCCCTCCTCTCGCGCATGAGAATGCGGCACCTGTCGGCCTCTGGCACACGAGCATCGTGAGCAGCGTTGGCGGCTAACTCGCCCGCGACGGCGTTGCCCACCACGAGGCCCTGCACGCCGCGTCCCTCACACAGCTGCTGCCGTGATGTGAGAGTTCGTGCACAGCGCGACCACGCGCCGGTCACGTACACACTTGCCCATGTGCCACCATATGTCCGCATCTTCTCCCAATGGGTGTAGGTACTTCTTGCCGTACTATCCCTCGGCGACCATGCCGCAATCTGTGACGTAGTAGGTCAGCGCACCCGTCGTACAAAAACGAGCCATCTGAGATGCTTTCAGTTCCCTTCGCGCCACCACCTGCGTCGGACCGACCAGTGGCCCCGCGACGCACGAGTGCGCCAAAGGCCTAGCGGTGTCCAGCAGCCTCGCGATGGCCAGCTCAGCCAGCCTGAGCTTGTTGGAATTTGTGCCTTTACCCCCGCTGGCGTCGCCGCAGACAAACAGAGGCTTTTGGCGTCGAGGCGACACAGTCCTGCTCTCGTATGATTATTTAATCGCTTCGCTCATTCCGCCGGCCCATGTAGCCTCATCTCTGCTGTTTGCCCGAGGGACCGTTGTCAATGCGGCGTTGGTGGGGTTTTCTTGGCAGGCGTTTCGGGAGTCTCTTGGAGGCAGTGTTGAAGCCTCTTGAGGTCTCTTGGGGGCTGTTTGGGGGGCCCTGGGGGCTCAAGAGGAGGAGGGATGACGAGGAGGAGGGAGGAGGGAGGATGAGGAGGAGAAGGAGGAGGAGGAGGATGATGATCGCTGGCTGGTTGAGTGCTCGGGGGGCATTTGGGGTGCCTCCTGAGGGCACTTGGGGGCCTCTAGGGGGCCTCTTGGGGACTTCCTGGAGCGTCTTGGGGGTCTCTTGGGGCCTCTTGGGGGCCACTTGGGGCTTCTTGGGGCTTCTTGGGGGCCTCGGAGGGCCGAAAGTTCGAGAGTTTGTTTCGTGTTCCCTTTCTGGGGCCCCTCTTGAGGCATTCTTGGGGCCCTCTTGGGCCGTCTTGGGGGCCTCTTGGGCCGTCTTGGAGCCGTCTTGGGCTGTCTTTGGCCCACTTGGGGCCCCTTTGGGGGGCCCCTTGGGCCATCTTGAGGCGATCTTGGGGGCCTCTTGAGCCGTCTAGGGGCGTCGGGAAGCCGAAAAGGTGGAAACGCTCAAATCTGTCCAAAACCTAAGGGAAAGCAACGAATTTTGCTTCTGTGGGTTCTCTTGGGAGTGTTCCTGGAGGCCTCTTGGGGCATCTTGGAGGCCTCTGGGGCCATTTTGGAGGCCTCTTGGGTTGTCTGGATGCCAGCTTCGGCGTCGTGGAGCGATCTTCGGGCGTCTCGGGCCTCTCTTGGACCGTGTTGGGTGCCTCTTGGGGCCCTCCTGGGGCGATCCTGAGAGCCCTGGGGGAGTCTCCTGGGCCGCGCCCGGGCCGCGCCCGGGGTACGTTTGGTCCAGGGACCCCCAGGGGCCGCCCCGCGCGCGCGGAGTAGAAATAATGTATAGATTTTACTGGAGATCTTAGCACGCCTTTGGCCCGTTGGGCCGGCGAATTGATCGCTTCGCTCACTCCGCCGGCCCATTTCGAATCACTGTGGCTGCTTGGTGGTGTTCTCGTGCCCTTGGGGGCCTCTTGGGGGCCTCAGGGCCGATCTTGGGACTCTTGGGAGGCCCTGAGGGCGGCGCCCAGGAGCAAAACCATCTCTGATGGGAAGTTGCCGGGGATCTGCCCGGGCCTCTTGGGGCCCGGGCAGGTCCGCGGCAGAAGAAGAAGAAGGAAGGTCCCCAGGATGAGGAGGAGGAGAAGGTGGAAGAAAAGGCGTCGGCAAATTAGGAGAGCGTTTGGCGTGAGGCCGTGGGGCGTGGCACATACGAGTGGCCGTGGGCCTATCCAACCACTGTGCCTGAATTATGTGCCTGAAGCCATTCGGATGGGTGATAGAGTTTCGAGAGGCTTATCGACAACGTTTTGGAAGGAGTTGTTTAGTTTCTGGGGGGGGGGCGGGGGGCTTTGTGATAGCGTTGTCAGGCTTTTGTGGGCTCTCTTGGAGCCTCTTGGGGCCTCTTGGAAGCTTCCAGTAGCTCCTTCGGGGCTTCTGGGGCCCGAAGGTTCGAAATGTCCGTTCTGGTTCCTCCTGCGGGCCCCTCTTGGCGCAGTCCTGAGGCCGTCTTGGCCAGTCTTGGGGCTCCTAGAACAGTCTCGAGGCTCTCTGAGGCTGTTTTGGAGCCTTCTTGGGGGACTCGTCGGCTGTCTTGGGGCGATCTTGGGAGCTTGAGGGGCCGTTTTGGACGTTGGAAGGCTGAGGAGGCGAATCTGGAAAAAATGCATTTTACTTGGGGACTGTGCGATGTTTGCCTCTTGGGGCTCTGTTCGGAGGCGTCTCTTGGAGCCTTCTGGGGCCTCTTGGAAGCTTCCGGGAGCTTCTTCGGGGCGCCTCGGTGCCCGAAGGTTCGAAATGTCCGTTCCGGTACTTCATCTAGGCCCCTCGTGGAGCAGTCCTGAGGCCGTTTGGGCCAGTCTTGGGGGGTCTTGGAGCCGTCTTGAGGCTTCCTGGGGCTGTCTTGGAGCCTTTGGGGGGCCTCTTGCAGTCTTGGAGCGATCTTTGGAGTCTGTGAGGCCGTCGTCTTGGAAGTTATGAAAGCTGAGAAGAGGAATCTGGTAAAAATGCACGTTTTTGCGAAGGGAATGGAGCGATGTATGCCTGTGGGAGCTCTCTTCGGAGGCGTCTCTTGGAGCATCTTGGGCTTTCTTGGAAGCTTCCAGGAGCTTCCTCGGGAGGTTTGGGGCCCGAAGGTTCGAAATGTTCGTTTTGGTTCCTCCTCTGGGCCCCTTCTTGCGCAGTCCAGAGACCGTCTTGGCCAGTCTTGGGGCTGCCAGACCATTTTGCGGCTCTCTGGGGTTGTCTTGGGGCCTTCTTGGGGGCCTCTTCGGCTGTCTTGGGGCGATCTTGGGAGTCCCCGGGGCCGTCTTGGACGCTGCGAAGGCTGAGGAGGCCAATCGGGGAAACAGATTTGTTGCCTCTTGGCGCTTTCTTCGGAGGCGTTTTGGAGGCGTCTTGGACATTGTGGAGGCCCGTGGGGCCGTCTGGAGGCCATCTTAGACATCTGGGAGCGAGCTGCGTGCGACTCGGAGCCCTCTGGAACCCCTTTGGGGCGCTCCTGGAGCGATCCAGGAGCCGCCAGAACCGCGCCCGGGAGTTCCGCCATCTCTGACCCAGAGTCTGCCGGGTGTCCGTTTGGGTATTTTTCGTCTTGGGATCCCCAGAGGCCGCCCCGCGCGCGCGAAGTAGAAATATTCGAAAGATGTCACCGGAGATTTTAGCACGCCTCTGGCCCATTGGGCCCGCAAACTGTTATGTTTTTGTTCCGCGTGGCAGCGTCAACGTATCAACACATGAATGCGTGGTCGTCTGCCTGCCCTGTGACAACTCCCAAATTTACCGATTCTTGCAAATATCCCAACACTGCTTCAAGACTGCACCTGGGATCAATCATGATTTCGGCGGCCCTGGAGGAAAAGAAGACACCAGCGCGCTTACCCAGTGCATCATAAACACCATCCGCTACTTTGCCTTTATGTTCTGCCACGGGGTCCCGCGGGAGAGTTCTGAACCCATCGATAGCACCACCATCTTGATGTCGTGCGATTCGGTCATTGACACAATAGTGTTTGTAATTACGTCTGCCGCCCATTCTGAGCAATTTCCCACCAGCACCGCCAATCTTCAATCGGGCAAGGTTCGTCATATGAGGCCACATTTTGTTTCGCAATTCGGATCATGTCCAGGTTCAAGTTGTTCTTAACATAAGGTTTACTTGAGGATGCGTCGCGGCACCCAGAAGAAGACTCTACTATGGCTTGCGAAACAGCCACCAAGTATAAGCTCTTCATTGCGACGATTCGCGTTTATGTTTATGATCCTTCCAAACGTCGGCAAACATAGAAACAGCAGTCTGATTGTCATCAGCATCGTTGTGTTCTGCAGTCTCTGTTCCCGAATGCTCTGCGTTAAGTGGAACACGTTGCACATTATCGCAATATGTTTCGTGATCATCCGTTCCGGCATGCTCAATGAAAAGAAGCTGTGGATTTTCTGCGCATGCATTGGGCGCGATTTCAGCAAAATTGTCTACCTCCTCCGAAGCAATGTTTGCAGTGCCATTACATCCTTTCAGACCAGGCGGGGGGGCAAGGTTTTAGAAGCTGTATCTACGTGCATATGTTATCCTGGTCCTTTCCCCCCTCTTTCTGCTCGACGATTTTTGTAAGGTCGCACTGGCTTCCTGGGAGAAACAAGGCAAACATCATGCCAAGAGACCGAAGTTCAGTAAGTGGACTGAGTGCCAAGGTCCTCCTCCTCCCCCTTGGCCTGCGGGGACGGGCGACCCTCGAGACCTCGTCTGGGGTAAAATTCGCACTCTTCGGGCGGGACCGGAGTGTGCTCTTGATTCCTCAAACGCAGGCCGAGGAGGAGGAGGAGGAGGAGGAGGAGGACAGGATGGACCTCAAAAAGATGTTAACCCGGGTTTATCAGGTTCTGGGATTATTGACCCGGGTTTATCATGTCTCGCCCAGAACATTATGAGTTTGGGTTTCAATGTTCGGGGAATGTTGACTGGGGTTCATAATGTTCCCCCCGGAACATGATAAACCCAGATTTATAATGTTCTGGGGGTATCGACCCCAAAAACATATCAATTTGGGTTCAAAATGTTCCGGGAATATTGACTGGGGTTCATAATGTCTCGGGAATAATTGAACCCTGTTTTCGTAATTTTGGAATGATAATAATTATCATTTTCCCCCCAACCCGCGGGTTCCCCACCAGGTTTTTCGTGTCGCAATATGGACCCTGGTTTATTATCCCCAGGAGATAACAAGTCCGGATACACAATGTTTCCGGAATATTGACCCCGGATTAATTATTCTGGACTGATAATGAGCCGGGGGGGCGCCGTTTGAGAGTACGTTCTGGACTGAAATAAACCTTTGTCCAGACTGTTGGAATATTAAATTTAGGTTGATTATTCCGGAAAGGTAATGATTCGGCGGGGGGGCTGAGCCCGCTCCATTCACAGGATAAAAATCCAAAGGGTATCATCTGAAGATAATGAACCTAAGTTTTCATTCCTAGATAATAAACCACGGTCGACGAGGATTTCACACCTACCCTCGAGGAGGAGGACGATGAGGAGGAGCAGGATGAGGAGCAGGAGGAGGAGGAGGAGAAGGAGGAGGAGGCGGAGGAGGAGGGGGAGGAGGAGGAGGGGGGATGATCAGGAGGCCGAGTTGGAGGAGGGACGAGGCACGGTGCACGAGGAATGAGCGGCGAGCTGCCAGGGATCAGGGACGAGAAGCGAGCGACGAGAGGCAAGGGACCACGGTCGATGGGAGGAGGAGGAGGAGGAGGAGGAGGAGGAGGAGGAGGAGGTTGGACGGATGTAGGAGGAGCTCGTGCTGGCCGTTCCCCAGGAGAAGGGGGCCGACGAGGAGGAGGAGGAAGGGAACGGAGAGGGGGCAGAGGGCGAGGCATGGGCACGACAGTCAAACAATGAGGGTACAGGAGAGCAGGAGGGTGCTTGGCATCGCTCGGACGTGTGCATTTTCTGTCGGCGGGGGCCATCGAGGAGCATCCTGGATCATCGAGCGAACAAAAAAAAAAACAACACGCGTGAGAGCGATAGTTGCACAGGGAATGGACGTCCGAGCGATGGCGAGAGGGTGGTGGTGGAGCGAGCAGGAGTTGGAGGAAACCGACGGGCAGGAAGAAGACGACGACGACGGCGGTGGCGGCGGCGGCGGAGAAGAGGACGACGATCCACCTCTGGGCCCTGGACCTGGCCTGGAGCGCGTTCTGACCAGGATGTCGGACCGGACCTGGACGTGGTGCCCAGACCGTCCCCCGGGCCACAGAGTGATGACCCAGAGCGCTCGAAACCTCGACCATCGAGCCACGACCCCAGAACGATAAGACGGCGACGTCGATGACGCCGACGACAGGGGCGACGACCACGACGAGGACGGCGACAAGGACGGCGGCGACGATGACGACGGAGACGGCGACGAGGACGGCCACCACGGCGGCACCACCGACGAGGAAATCCACGACGGCCACGACAAGGACGACCACGGCGACGGCGACCACGGCGGCGCCATCGACGAGGCAATTGGCGGCGCCTACGACTACGACGACCACGACGACGGCAGACCCAGCGAGAGGCCGGAGCCCTCGCGTGCCTCGTGCTGCTGCCCAGCGCCTGGGTCTGCGTCCGCTGCACGGTGCCCGGCGCGGGGAGCCGCCCGCCGTGGCGCGCCGCCGCTGCCGCCGCCGCCGCCAGCCTCGGCAGTGCCTCCCGGTTGGCCCTAAGTTGCTCCAAGATGGTCCCTTGACGGAAGCATCGGCTGAGGACTGGCACAAGAATGAGCACGGGACGTGCGGCATTCGCCGCTCGTCTGGATGGCATCCCGTCCTTGGGTCACCTTTTTTCCGGATCCACCGTGGCCACTCAGATTCTGGCCGTCCGAGCGATGGCCAGGGACGTGTGGCACGCCTTTCACCCTCTCGCGTGATGCAGCCACAGGATTTGCCGGCGGAGCCACATGACTGCGGAGCCGCAGGGGGCGGGGAGCAGGGGCGGGGAGCAGGGGAGCACGGGCCAGAGCTCGTCCTTCTCGGCGTGGGCCTCCTAAGGAGGTCGAGCTTCGTTGACGCGTACACGCGCGCGGCCGACGCGTACTCGCTGGTGCGGCAGGACGGCGCGGCCGAGGACCGCGACCGCGAGGACAGCGCCAGCTCCATCTTCTCCGCCTTTTGCTGCGTCTTTCTCCCGCCGAGTTTCCGCTACGAGGGGGCCTGACTCTTGGTGGCAGCAGAGCTTGCCTCGGAACATTTGGCTTTTGGCCACAGCAGGGTTTTCTCTTGCCTTACTTCCTCTCTCCTCCAACTCCTCCTCCTCATCCTCCTCCTCCTCCTCCGTAGCCATTTTGGCTCAAGATGCCATGTTCCTCAGGGGAACAAGTGGAAACCGCTAGTCCGCGGCGAGCAAGACCCTTGAGGTCTGGCAGTGCTTTTCTCCACAGCTGCGCTCGCGTTGGTGGGTAAACAGTCGGGGGTGGACAGAACCCCCAACAGTGACACGTCGATTAGTGAATTGTCCGTTTTCGGTTCTCGAGAGGGCGCCGTGGCCGTTATTTTCCAGGCTTGCGCCCGCCAGGTTTGGGCCTCAGGTCGTTTTCACTAAACCACGTTTTACTAAAGGGGGTTCTGTCCATCCCCGAAACAGAGGTTTTTCCCGGTCCTGCCCTCTCGAACGCTCAGAGACATTCATGGGCGGTGACCGCAATGGCGGATTGCATGCCGTTCGCGGCCCCAAGAGGAAGATCAAGAAGGCTCGCCGAGGTCAGGCTGACGGTGCTGCTGTCGTTGATGAGGGCGATGATGTGGCTGGTGGCTCAGACACTCCTGTCCATCCTACTACTGGGGTTTCCTGCACTGCGGCCCCTGCTGCGGGGGATGATGACGATGAGGACATCAACAGCGAGGACGAGTGGACAAAAGACGATTACATCAAGCAGTTTGCAGGGGATTATGTCTCCAAGAAGATGGCCGAGCACAGGGACGAGCTCATTTGGGACCTCACCAAGGTGGTCTCTGCGACGGTCTCAGACCAGATCCAGGACTTTGCTGCTCAGCTTACTGAGCACTCTCGTGCTGCTGGGAAGCTTGCAGAAGGAATACAACAACTTCCAGCCATGGCCAAGCAAGCATCCGAGCAATTTTGTTCCGAGAAGCTGGATGCCTTCTACCGCAAGTTCCAGGAACAGTCGGACGGCCACTCAGTGCGACTCCGTGCTGTTGAGAACAGACTGGATGGCCACGACTCTGAACTGCAGGCTCTTCGAGAACAAATTCAAGAACTCCGTGCTGCTCTCGCGATCGCCAACGTCCAGCCCAAGCCTCCTCTCGCCAGCGCTGCAGGCTTCGACAGGGATACCGACGCAACGATCATTCGCGTCATGGCGTCCATGCTGGTGGACTTGTCTGCAGTACAGCAAATCATGTCGGACTGGATCGTCAGCTGCGGAATCAAGGCCGGGTTCTTCACGATCTCATCCAGCGAGCAGGTCGCTAAACAGTTCACCGTCCAATTCTATGGGGCGGCCGGTCCTGCCGCGCGCCGTGTCTCTCAGGTCCTCGGCGTTCAACGGCTCGCTCCTGGTCAATGGAAAAGATTCGAAGTCATGGCCATGGACAAGCAGATGGCGACCCTCCACATCGGTGCGGACAAGAATCCCCGACAAATCAAGCTGGAGATCCAGGGCCGCAAGCTCAGGGGGGCCTGCAAGAACGCGGCCCCCGGTAAGAGGTGGTTCTTCGACCGTGACAGGGGCTGCCTCGTGGCGGGGTGGGACCCTGTGCTTCGCCTCTCTCCCAACCCTGGGAACACCCCCTCGGAGGTCGCTCGGGCCGACAACATTGCGCAGAAGCTGGCGCCCCCGAAGGACCAGCTGGCGGAGGCTGTCAAGGGCATCATCTCTCCACCTGAAGCTGCGGAGTGGTTTCTTTAATGGGCTTGCTGCAGCTATTCATGGACGATTGGCGCGCCCCCCGTCGTTCGCTTTCTCTTCTTGGAATGCCCGCGCCCTTCTTCCATATCATGGGCATGCTGCTCGGCCGAAGCTTGCTTGCCTCAAGAGGTTGGACTTCGCGTGCGGTATTGTTGCCATCCAGGATGTTCACCAGGATGAGAAGCAGCTCGTCGACTTTCTCTCCAGAGTTGCGCCGCGCGCGAAGGTCTACACCAGCTACTGCGAGGGGTCTGCAGCACGGGGAGGCGCTGCTACGATCCTTCCTGCTGAATGCCGCGCTGGGGTCTCTCAGCGATCATTAGTCCCTGGTCGGGTGCTACGAGTAGCCCTTCACCTTGGCGGCTTCTTCGTTTACCGCTACAATGTACACAGCCGCGACTTGACCATTGCCCAGATCAATGGAGCGTCGAAAGTTTTGACTGCTGACCTCAGGGCGGCTCAACGTGATCCGCTTCACTATGTTGCCATGCTTCATGCTGATCTCAAGTTTGCTCCACGCGCCCCTCTTCTCCGTCGCCAGCCTCACCGCCGACTAGCCCAAGGCAAAGGACAACGCGCCAGAGCTGCTCGCTGGAATACGGCGCTCAAGACCATGATGGAACTCTCCTCTGACGAGCCGACTCACTACGATCGCCACTCTCACTCTGTTTCCATACTGGACAGGCTCTGGCGCAGTTGGCCTGGGTGGATTATGACCCAGCTCGCGGCGGAACCTGGGGTCGTCGATTGTCCTGGGCACCTCGCCGAGACCAATGTCAGCGACCATGCGGCGCACGCGGTGAAGTTCACGCGGCGATCTCTTCGACCTGATCATGCTCATCGAATCCCACAGCACCTGTTTGAAAGTGATGAATTCCAAAAGCGGCTCAGGGCATGCGACAAGCTCAACTATGCGGACAAGAGCCCCCCTCGTCAGATCGAACTACACAAGTGGGCCATTCGCGAGGTGGCTGCCGACCTCCGTGATCGGCTTTTCACGCGGCGCCTGAGGCCCATACGACGCTCTTGCTACTTGCCCTGCAAATCTTCAGGGTGGTTCGGCGGAACGACCACATGCTGGCTCGCAAGTTGATGGCCAACCATACTGCGGCCTACGACGTCTTAGAGATTCAGCACAACATGGTCCGTCTACGCCATCCCGCCTCCTTTCAACACTGGCGTGATGAGATACAACGTCGACATGCTGATCAACTTCGCACCCGACTTGAGGAACGACTTGCCGGACCTCGTGCTCCGCAGGCTCTGCGTCATCAGCTTGCTGCTGTGGAACGGTGCTCGGGCATCTGGTCTCCTTTCAACCGCAGATTGGCATTGCGTGCGGTGAAGCACCCGTCTGACCCGACCTGCGTCTCCAGCGAGTCTGCGACCATGACAAACCGCCTGATCGAGCACTGGGCCCCCATCTTTAAGGCCAAGCCGACCGATCTCGGCCTGGCGCAAGCATGCATCGACAACATGCTCCGCTATTGCTATTGGACTTCTCCAAGGTTGAGCCGCCATCTCCCGCCCTCCTGCGTCGCGTAGCTAACCAGATGCACTACTTTGAACCTGGGCTGGACTCCATCCCTTATTCGGCTTGGGCGGCTACTGATGCTGGGATCAACGTGCTTTCGGGCGCTGCGATATGGATTATGCAGGGCCAATCCCTTTTCAAAAGCTCACATGACACGCATCAGGTTTGGCTGCCCAAGGGCGAGGAGATTGAAGACTCTCTGGCTACTGGTTGCTCTCGCTCCCCTGGGGCGGTCCGTGTGCTGGGCTTGCGGAACACGGGCAGTACGGCTATCACCGCCACGGTCAACATCCAGTTCAGCAAGTTGCTCATGGATTGGGCTCCCCGATCCCAGAGGGGCTTCATCCACCAGCGAAACTTTGGAGTCAACATCCTCGAGCTCGACGTTGCGGCCCGCACGTACTCTAATTCCCCCGCGGCAAGCGCTAACCTTCCTGCTCTGGTTGCATTGGACTTCGGCGCGGCCTTCCCGAGTCTGGCGCAGTCCTTTATGTAGATGGTCTTTCGGCAATTGCAGGCTCCCTGCGCGTTCCTAGCTATCTTGGAACAGGTTTAGCATATCCTAGACGCTATCGTTATGAAGAATGGGCTTCCTACATTTGCGTGGCGGATCTCATCTGGTATCATACAAGGATGCTCACTCAGTGGATCGATATGCGCGGCAGTGACGGCATGCTTTCCTCTTCGACATTCAGTCGCGGATGGAGGGCCCACGGCTTGGCCTTGCACGGACCTGCGCTGACGATTTTGGATGCGTCGTCAAGCAGCTTAAGGCACCCCGCATCCTTGCTGACGTGATGCAGACAGCGGAGAAGATCACCACGCTTGTGCTCAAGCTCACCAAGTGCCTGCTTGTGCCGCTCCACGCACAGTTCACGGAGCAGATGGCTGCCTCCATGCATGAACCGATCCGTGATATGGCCCCCTTTTTTGCCAATGTTCAGGTGGCTAGCTCTCTGATTTACCTTGGCCTTGCCCTGGGCCCTGCCGCAGATGAGAGCTCATGCTGGCTGGCGCCCTCTATCAAACTTAAATTGAGATCGAGATTAGTAGGCACGAGCCCGCTTGCGGTCTCGCGGCTTGCGGTCAACTACATTACAAGAATTACCCCGTGCTCCCGTACGTCGCGCAGTTTCGCATGATGCCCAGCTGGCTTCTCCGCGAAGAGCTAGTGGCCCTTTCCAGGACGTTCAGGATCCCTCTCGGCACCTTCAACAGCTTTGCCTGGCTCCAACTTCGAAGCGCTGGTGGTCCATCCGTTCCCGCATGGCTTGCCATGAGCATTGGGGCCCTGATCAGGACTCACTACGCTCCCTGAATTTCAAAGACTACATGATTGGATGTATCGCCAGCACCAGGAGCTAGGCGACCTTCGTGTGTTTTCTCAAGCTCTTACTCGTGGGGGGCGGCCGTACCCGCACTTCTGGCAATCTGAGGCCGTTGTCGAAACGCTGGCCAGAGTCTGAGACTGCTCTGCTTCCAACATATTCCCTGACTACTCGCAGGCACACCTGGCCTCTGCCAGTGCAGAAGCTGATCGATGGCAAGAATTGCCGACCACGTCGATGGGCTTGCAACGATGCGTTACCAAGATGATCAAGACACGCATCTGCCACCTCCCGCTGTGGACCTTCTTGGAGGCTCGTCTCATCAACCGCTTCCCTGAGCTGGGGGTGATTGGCGACTCTCTTGTTCCTGCACAACGTTGGGCACACATTTCAATATCTTCGCGGATGCTCACTTCCATGGGCCTTCGCTTACTTCAAGACGGTTGCCAATGGATGGGCGACTTCGCACAGAATACTACAGCCACACGGGCGTCTCTCGTGCCGATGTGATTGCCCGCGCGAACCTGATGCTGTTCACCACTACCTACAGTGCAAACCATTTCGTTGCCTTCTGGAGCAGGCGCTCGGTTACTCGCGGCCCTCCTCACCGCTGGGTCGTCTGGGGCTTATGGGCTCGGCTGTTGAACTGGACAAGATCGTCTTTGACGTCGCTGCGGTGCACTACCCATATTTTGGCGCAGCACACTCGTCAGCCGCTCACGTTTGGAGGCGAGAGGCGGCGCACTCCTTTGTCAAGGCAGCTATTCGCACTGCACAGCTAGGCGCTACTGCGCCATCGAGAGCACCCCTGGGGACAAGGTGTGCTGGGCGCGCGCGTCCTGGCAAGAGAATCGGGTCATCATGTTCTTTCTCATCCTCGTCTTCGTCATCCTCGTCCTCTTCTGGATCTTCCTCACCACCGTCGAGCGACATGCCCCGTCCCTCATCACCAGCACCGACTATCGAAATCATTGAAGGCGCTTTTGCTATTGCTGAGGGTTCGTCTTCTTCGGGCTCTTCACCGAGATCGTCTTTGTCTCTCCCTTGCTGCCTTCCATCGGCGCTGGCGTCTGCTTCCCTTACTACGGACACGAACGGTCTGAGGGTGCGACTCGCTCGTTATCGTGACAGAATTGGCTCTGATCTACAGATGGGTGGGAAACAGATTAATGAGGTGCTCCCAAAGGAAGAAGCGTGGTGCTCCGTTTCCCGCTGCTCCTCATCACCGGTTTGCTTTATGATGCGCTCGCAGAGCGTCGCGGCTCAAGCTGGGATATCTATTGACCTACCGCCTATGATCGCCCTCGCTCTGGGCTTGTTCTTTCAGCCTGCGGCTGTCGCCTATGGGGCCATTGCCAGCACTTCAGGTACAACAGCGACGAGCACTCCTTCTCCATCGGTAGCTTCATTCCGACCAATGAGGGGGCGCCGTGGGACGACTACTGAACCACGCAACTTCGTTGAGGGGCAGGTGTTGGATGTTGGTTGCGACACGCCATCCACGTCTGCACTTCCTGGGGTGGATCTTCCTGCGCTCTTTGAATCCTTTGTCCCGCCAGCGGAGGAGACAGGCCTTCCTATCGCTGCTCGCCGCCAGGCGCTTGAGGACAGAATTGTTGCGTGGGCTCGTTCGTGGATCCCCACGCTGATGGTGAACATGTACGGCTCTGACTCCGATCAATGGATGCGATGGTGCCCTGAGTATGTGGAGAACGTTCTCAGGTATGATGATCTTCAAGGCCTCTGCGGCGACTCCGCGAGCAGGCGGCAGCTCGCTCTTGACTGGTGTCTCAGTGGGTGGTACCACAGCGCTATTGCTCGTGAGCAATTACGACGTCTGCTCATTGACCCTTGACCTGTACATGATGACAAACGGACGCGGCGGCGTCGCCTGCTTGCCATGGCACACCTGATGGCGCGACGACCCATCACGCATGTCAGCTGCCAACCGAGACGACTACCTCGCGCAGATCGCCTTGGCCCGGCCGTTCGCTCCTCCTGCGCTCATGCCGCACCTCTACGTCCTGCCGTACCTGCTCATCGACTTGACGTTCGAAGCCCACGCTCAGGGCGAACCGCCGCCTGATGAAGATAACGCCAGCATCGACCACGAGGGTGCCCCGAACCCCTCCGACCTGGATCTCGTCCTCATGGTGGAGGGCGAAGGTAAGGGCGACCTCTCGTCAAGCCAGGAGGTGGACATCGCCATGCGAGATGATGATCATCCACCACAGCCAGGGTCACAACTCAGCGATGATGAATTTGAAAGACAGCTTCTTCGTGTTCTGCGACGCTCTCGTGTTGATGCCGATGATGGCCTATCCCCCGACCCTGCAGCTGGGTCTTCGGGCGATGCCCCTCGGCCCGCGGCCCCCCCTGATCCCACGACGCAGAGCACTAGCAGCTCGTCTGGTGGGTCAGCGAGTGCTGATGACAATGCTGGTGCAATGATCGCTTCGCACGGGTTCGGCGCCATCTACCCTGACGGCTCCGTGGGGGGCGCCCTTCGAGCTGATCGTGACGTTCCTCCTGTCCTGGTACCTCCGCCTGGTGACCATCCTCCCCGTCCCTGAAGCGGCCTCCGAAGATCTACCTGGCCTACAAGAACTGGGTGCTCCACCAGTGGATCGACTCCCACCCGCCTCTCCTGATCCTGAACACGCTCTTCGTGTTGATGGGGGCGGCTACGCTGAAGAACTACCACCACGCAGTATGCATGCCCCTGGCGCTCTTCCTGCCCCTGCTCATGACTCCCAGATGAGGAACAAATGCGCGCATGTGGACGTGATGATGGGAGTTACTGGCCTTCTGCCGCACACTTCGCTTGCTCTCCAACTGGCTCTTGAGATTCTAAGCCAAGGTATTGACCCGCGCCTGACATCGACAGCTTCCTCTGCGCCGGCTCCATGCGCGGCTACTGAGGGTGCTCCTGCGTCGGCCGACAACCTCTCGCAGCATGACAAGATCTCCAACCAGCAGATCGCATACGCGATGAGGGCATTGGACATTCTATACCCTGTTCTATAAGAACCTAGCCGTGAAATGATACGGTGGATGCTGCTACACCCTGACTCCCTCGTCGCCTCACATGACGAACTGCTGGCTGACCCTGTACGTGATCCTCTTCCTGTGCCCGAACTTGCACATCATGCTCCGCCCTCTCATAAAGACGATCAAGCTGGCACTTCCGCCAGGGGTGGAGGTGCCTTCCCCGACTACACGCCCTTCGATCCTGCTGCGCTGGACGCTATCGGGGTGGTCTCGTTACCCTCCCCTCCAGCGGCCTTCCCCGACTTCGACCCTTCAGACATGGAAAACAGCAGGACTGGTGATGCTGCGCCTGAAGGTGATGGCACTGTTCCTGGTCACTCCTGACTGGTCGTCGACGCGTCCGACGGCTACCTCACCCCCTTCGTCCCCGCCGACGACGCCCTGGACTTCTTCAGCGTGAGCCTGAGAGGCTCCGCGCTCGCGCGCACTCAGCGGCCCAAGGCGGGGCGGACCTTCACCTTCTTCATGGACGCTCGCTCCTCCTCCTCCTCCTCCTCCTCGTCCCCCTCCTCCTCCCTGATCACGGCTAGGCCGCACTGGACTTTTGACAGCCTATCACGCTCCAGCCGAGGCAGAGCAGCACCGAACGGCCCGAGAGGTCGATCGATCGATCCGACCCTTTCCCCCCCTCCTCTCCGGTGTTCCCGAAGCTTGCCTGCCCGAGGAGGAGGAGGGAGGAGGAGGAGGAGGAGCAGGAGGAGGAGGAGGAAGAAGAAGAAGAGGAAGAAGACGAATAATAATAAGAAGAAGAAGAAGAAGAATAATAATAGGAGGAGGCGGAGGATGGAAGAATAGGAGGAGGCGGAGGATGGAGGAGGCGGAGGATGGAGGAGGCGGAGGAGGAGGAGGAGGAGGAGGAGGAGGAGGCGGAGGCGCGTGCCCGGTGGGGCTGGGCGCGCGGGGGCGGCCGCCCCGAGGACGGCCGCTGGACGTCGGACGAGGACGCGCCGCCTCTCGGCCCCCGCGCGCGGGCACCTGGCGTCGGGCACGCGCCGCCGTCGGTCGCCTACAGTGGAGGCCCATGTCAATCAGGAGGGGAAAAAAAAAAACACAGACACAACTCATCGTCGATCCCCCAGAAAATGTTGGAAAACATGGGCAGTGGGGGGGAAGACAGAAACCCAGAAAATAGTGGGAAATATGGGGGATCTGTTTTATTTGTGTGCATTTATTTGTGTGTCCCAGGGCCCCTTCAGTCAAGAAACGCCCTGCTTGCCTCCAGGCGCTCTCGTTGCCATCCACGGCTCGGAGGGGGGGAGGGAGGGAGGGAGGGGGGGGGGGGGAAAGGGGGAGGGTTCCTGGTGGGTTTTTGTCCACCCACCCCGGCACGGGTGCAGGCTCGCCTGATTCGGCGGCTCTCTCTTCCTGTCCGCCCGTCTGTCTGTTCCCAGCTCTGTTCCCCTCGGAGGAGGTATTACAGTGGAAACCCATGCCAAGAAAAACCATGCTTGCCTCCAGGGTGCCCTGGGTTTCTTGGGTTTCGATGGTTTTGCGATGGAAGGCGTGACGTTCCCGTACCAAAAATCAAGGGATGTCCTGGGGTCTCAGGGTTGGGTTTCTTGTGGAAGGTTTCTTGTGGACTGGCTTTCACTGTATCGCGCGTCGTCCGTCGTCGTCGGCCATCATGCGACGGGCGTCGCCGTGGTCGGTCGGTCGTCGTCGTCCGTCGTTCGAACAAGGGGTCGACTGCAGAATTGATGTGCCCCAGGTTCTGAGATTTTGTCGCCGATTCTACAGCAGATGCCCACACTGTTCGCGCATCTACAAAAACATTCACGTATGTTTATAGGCTCAAGGAAAAATCAATTCGGGGTAAGTCGATTATGTGGTCGATCTACTCGAGTTGTAGTCGTCATCGGTGGTCGCCGTCGTCGTGCATCGGTCATCACCGTTGTCTGTCGTCGTTGTCGTCGGTCGTCTTCGGTCGTCGTCGTCGTCGGTGGTCGCCGCTGTCGGTCGTCGATGTCGTCGGTCGTTAGTCGACGTCGGTCGTCGGTCATCGTTATCGGTCGTCGTCGTCGCCGCCGTTTTGTACATGTCGACTGGCCTTCGGCCCATCCCGCCACCGTGCCAGGATGCGGGTGTGGAACGACTGGTCCCTGTTTTTAGGTGGCAAACCCTGGGGAAAGTGAAAAGGGGCGGGCCTTCTCAGAAGGCCCGGAAGTCCCCCGGCCTTCCGAGAAGTCTCCTGAGCATTCCCCCAGGGCACAACAAAACAGTGTCGGAAGGCTGGAGGGCTTCTGAGAAGCCCCGCCGCCTTCTGAGCAGGCGTTTTCCTTCTCGTTTCTCCCCTCGCTCGCCGCCCGTTTTGGGTCATAGCTCGGGTCTCCGACGGCCGTTCAAGACGATCCGGGCACCCCCAGAACGCCTCGGCGAGGCGCGGCTGCCAGCAAGCATCCCGAGGCCGGGCAACTGCCGAGAACCGCGAAAACGCCCGAAAGCCTCGAACCTTGAGCCCGAAACTTCCCCCCCGGCGTGATCTGCTCAGTCCGCGGCCTTCGGAGGCCCTGACCCCTTTCCTCAGGGGTAGTTTGTCGTCCCGTGTCAGTTTCGGATGGCCACCCTCCTCCTCCTCCTCCTCCTCCTCCTCCTCCTCCTCCTCCTCCTCCTCCCCCTCCTCCTCCTCCTCCTCCTCCTCCTCCTCCTCCTCCTCCTCCTCCTCCTCCTCTCTCCTCCTTCCTCCTCCTCCTCCTCCTCCTCCTCCTCCTCCTCCTCCGCCTCCTCCTCCTCCTCCTCCTCCTCCTCCTCCTCCTCCTCCTCCTCCTCCTCCTCCTCCTCCTCCTCCTCCTCCTCCTCCTCCTCCTCCTCCTCACTCCTCTCCTCCTCCTCCTCCTCCTCCTCCTCCTCCTCCTCCTCTCCTCCTCCTCCTCCTCCTCCTCCTCCTCCTCCTCCTCCTCACTCCCCCATCCTCCTCCTCCTCCTCGAATCTCGAACCGCCGACCTTCCTCCCGGCGGCCTGAGGACTTCTGGAGGTGGAGCCGGGCCGCCGTGGGCCTGCCGGAGCCGAGGAGCGGCAGCCGCGAGGGCGCCCTGGAGGCCCGCCCCCGGCCGTGCTGCAGCGGAAACCCATGCCAAGAGACACCTTCCTCCTCTTCCTCCTCCTCCCTCCTCCTTCTCCTTCTCCTCCTCCTCCTCCTCCTCCTCCTCCTCCTCCTCCTCCTCCTCCTCCTCCTCCTCCTCCTCCTCCTCCTCCTCCTCTCCCCCCTCCTCCTCTCCTCCTCCTCCTCCCTCCTCCTCCTCCTCCTTCCCTCCCCCATCCTCCTCCTCCTCCTCCTCCTCCTCCTCCTCCCTCCTCCTCCTCCTCCTCCTCCTCCTCTCCTCCTCCTCCTTCTCCTCATCCTCCTCCTCCTTCTCCTCCTCCTCCTTCTCCTCCTCCTCCTCCTCCTCCTCCCCCTCCTCCTCCCGCCCCGGGCGCCAGGCTTTGGATATCGTTTTCATGCTTCGCAACCTCGCCGAGAAGCACGTCGAATGGAGCGACATATTGCCAGCCCCCTACATTTTCGACGGCGACCTTTTCAAGGCCTACGACACTGTCAACCATCTCATCGGCGCGAAACGGCTTGTGAAGACAGGGCTGAAAAAGGTCACGGCTGCAGCCATCTGCCTAGAGATCCGCAGGCTGAAGTCGAGGATGGTGGCCGGGGACATTCGCAGCGATACGATTTCACGAACTCAGTCTTTTTGCCAAGGCGGACCCGATGTTCCCAAGATTTCCCATAGAATTCTAGATGCCGACATCGAGGGTTCCAACAAGCAGTGCGCGAAGAAGCAATGGGGAGTATGTCTTGATGGTGAATACTACGGGGTGTTGCGTTTTGCTGCCAACGTCTGGCTCCTGGGCACGTCCTGCGACATGATGCGAAATTAGGGCGGTTATTCGCCAATCAGCACAGCAGGTGGCGGACATGTCGTATCCCCTACAGCGTAGAACCTCGGCCACGCTCATTGGATAACACTTCGGCAACATGGCTTAGCATACTTCAGGCGCGGCAGAGGGGCAGTGAGGCTACATTCTTCACAACATGACCCACCGTGCGATTAATGAAGATGACCGCGCTTGCCGACGGGCATGCGTCGGCAGACCGTCGCCGTTATGAGGGCGGAAAAATGCAGCATCGTGGAACTGGTCGATGGGGCGGCATGGGAACCTCTCCCTTCGCAGCGATGGCAAATTTGTGCCTGCGAAGGCTACAGTTGGCAACAAGCCCACATGTACCCTCACGTCGAGTGGTACGGGGTAAAGGCGCCCCTTAAAGAATATCATTTCAAGTCCTTTTCCTCCTCCTCCTCCTCCTCCTCCTCCTCCTCCTCCTCCTCCCACACCTCCTTCTCACACAGCTCCTTCTCCTCTTTCTCCTGGTGCTGTTCCTCCTCTTCCTCCTCCTCCTCCTCTCCTCTCCTTTCCTCTCCCCCCCTCTCCTCTCTTCTCCTCTCCTCTCCTTCTCGCCTCTCTATCTACAGCTTTTGTTTTCTTGTGCTTGTTTGTTATCTCTCTCTCTCTCTCTCCTCCGCCACGACGAGTGCGTCGGCGGCGGCGACGGCGACGACGTCGGCCCTTCCCAGGAGAGCGCGCGAAGCCCCCGCGGCTGCCGGCGCGGCGCCAAGCCGCCCACGTCGCGAACCGCGACTTCCTACGTGCAGGTCTGCAGAGGCGCGGCGCGCGGCGGGGCAGACCCGAAGATCCGCCGCATTCAGAGAGGGCCCGCCGCCTGCTGAGAAAGCCCTTCTGCTGGGTATCTCCGTCCGGGGAAGCGTAGGACTCGAGCAGGCCCGGACTCGGGCTTGCCGACGTCTTCGACGAGCGCGTCCTGGATTTTGGAGGTCCAGTGTTCGTAGGATACGGGCACGATGCCCAGCAGCAGCTCCTGTCCATTGTGAACAGGACTCGCTGTCTGCGCCGCCGCGGCCGCTGCTCTTTGAAGACAAGAAGCCGCCCTCCCAACAGCGGGTGCTGTCGGTTTTGGACAACATGTGTTGTTGGGTATCTTCGTGGGCCCTTGGTCGGAAGCCGGAGCGTGTACATTACCAGTGGCGGGCTGCTTTTCCATCTCAGGATTTTTTGAGGGTCGGGGGCGACGTCGGGGTGGTGTGGAGTATACGCTTTTCCCCGTTTTCCCGGGGAAGCGGCGAAAAATGTATACACCAGGGTCCGACCCCATCTGTTCCGACCCCATCTAGGAGGCCTCTTTGTTCAAGTGGCCCACAGTGGAAACCCATGCCAAGAAACACCCTGCTTGCCTCCAGGGTGCCCTGGATTTCTGGGGGTTCCATGGTTTTGCGATGGAAAGCGTGACGCTCCCGCACCAAACACCAATGGACGTGCTGGAGTCTCAGGATTGGGTTCCTTGTGGAAGGTTTCTCCTGGTCGAGCTCCCTCCTCCTCCTCCTCCTCCTCCCTCCTTCTCCTCCTCCTCCTCCTCGTCGTTCGTGGAAGATGCTCTGTGGCCCTCGGCACAGCCCGCCACCGTGGCGCGGCTGTCTTCGGGCTACTCTCGGCTTCCAGGGGCCGGCCCTGCACGGGCCCCAGGACCGTCGGGAAGCGGCTCGGGACGAAAAGTCGTCGTCGTCGTCGTCGTCGTCGGCTCGCGCTTCGTGGTCCTCGTTCCTTCTCCCCCTCCTCCTCGTCCTTCTCTCCCTCCTCGTCCTCGTCCTCCTCGTCCCCCTGGAGATGCCCTCCTCCCCCCGCGCACGGAGAGGAGGTCGGGGGCGGCAAAGAGGGGGGTGGTGACTATTGGGAGGGGGGGACATCATGGCGTGGGCCATGGTATCAGCGAGTCCTGTTCAAAATGAACACGAACTGCTGTTGGGCATTGTACCCATTCTTTCCGTATCCATTTCGTTCGTGCCGAGGGGGGGGACCGTGCGGGATGCGATCTTTGTCTCTGGAGCCGTAGGTGGAACTCCTTGGGGGGCACGATCCGTGTGAGAGGCTTGCCGAGGTGCTTGGGGAGACGCTATGCGAAGCGTCCCTCTGGTGCCGTACGTGTAGTTACCTCCGGGGCGGCAGCACGATCCGCGTGAGGTGTGCGCCGCTATTCGACGCTTGTCTCTGAGGCCGTAGGTGGAGCTCCTTGTGGGGCACGATCCTTTTGAGGGGTGTGCCGAGCTGGGTGTGGGGCCGTAGGTGGAGCTCCCTGAGGACACGATCCATGTGAAGGGTGTGCCAAAATAGGGGGAAACGTCGTTCAGATACATGTACCCACGATCGCGCAGGTGTTCCCAGGTGGTGATCATTGTGGGATGGTGTGCGTACCCATCCGCTGATTGGTATGACATTAGCTTTGCCTGGACTAGAACGTGAGCGTGCGCGAAGCGCGCGCTGTTCTAGTGGTTCAATGACTCAACATGAATGCTATTACCCTCTCTCCCCTCAACCTGTCCCGTCGTGGCCCCGCCCATCCCGCGTGTTGTTTTCTTCCATTGGAGTCCCAAATCGGGCTCCTTGGGATCCTTTTGTTCCTGCTGCTGCTTGTCCTCCTCCTTCCTTCTCCTTTCCCTCCTGATCATCATCCTGCTCATCTGCCACCTCCTTTTCCACCTCCCCTCTCGCATTGCGCAGCACACGACGGGGTCGTGTGGGGGGCACCTGTCGGCTGGCACACCCGTCGGCGGAGTGAGGAACGATATGCGCAACGGGAAGGGATGCGGAGGGGATGAGACGTCGGATGTGGCGTGGGCGCACCTGTCTTGTCCTCCTCCCTCTCTCCTCCCCCCTCCCTCCCCTCGGGATGAAAGGGTCAGATGCTGGAGGTCGGACCTGGCAAGGATGCATCGCCCCTCTCGTCGCCGAACCATCAGATCCTGGCTGGCCCGACGAGAGTCGTGGCGGTCAGTTTTATGATGTTCACCCTAGTTTAGCCTTGATCGCCAGGAAGACTTTCGAGCGCCAAGGAAGTACCAGAACTGGAGGGTGTTCACATGCCAGGCCTTGGGAGGCGATCCTCTTTCGACACTTCGCTAGCGTGTCGGGTAGACATTGTTTCGATACTTTTCTGGGGGCTCGAAATTATTTCCAGGATGTCGTCCTTGAGTACGATGGGGACAACCTAAGGCCAGTTGCACGTTCGTCAACGAAACGGCCCAGGATGAAGATTCGGCCCCGTGAAAGTGGTCGAAGGCCCAGGAGCCGACGTCACGAAAGAGTGCAACGCCAGAGAAGAGGGAGCCACCGAGTACGCCATAGGTGGGGAGGCCACAGGTACCGATACCGCTACTCCCTGGACTTCTCCTGGGTTGCGTTCTGACCAGGATTTCGAGGCGAATCCAGCGGTGGCGACGAGGGCCTCCCAGGAGGCCTAGAAAGGGGGAAACGAGGGAACGGTAGAGGTAGAGGTACATATGAGGTACCTTTTCCTCCTCTGAATCGGCTTCAAGGGTGCCTGCATCCATTTTGAGTGGATGAGGCGGCTGTCAGAGAGGCACTGGAGACTCTGGCAGCTGGCGTGGGTCAGCACGTGTCTGCCGAGGGTGGTGCCTCGCGGGCCTCGCGAGTGGGAGGCGAGGGAGGAGAGGGGCGCGTGAGGGAGGGAGGAGATGGAGTACAGTAGCACAGACCTCCATTGTCGCGACTACGTTCGATACGGGGTCCTGGGAGCTGTCGACCTCTTCCCGGCGGCTGGCTTCTTTCATCCCGAGTCGCTCTGACGTTCCCCCCTGGCCTGAGGTGCGCTTCCAGAGGGCCTCCGTAGCCATTTTGGCTCAAGCAGTTTTGACACGATCCGTGTGGTTTGCACGCGCCTCCATCCACAGCCATGGGACGCGGCAGCCGCAGTCCTAGCAGAGGCCGCGGCAGGGACGACGACCGCAGCCGCAGCAGGGAGCGCAGCCGCAGCAGGAGCCGCAGCGAGGAGAGGGGCGGCCGGAACAAGAAGCCCGACGACTACGGCGTGGAGACGATCAAGATCACGGACGACGACGCGGCCTTCATCCTGGGCAAGGGCGGCAAGACGAAGGAGAAGATCGCCCGCGTGGCGGACTGCGAGATCGAGCTCTTCGAGCGCGACCTGATCCTGGAGTTCCGCGGCTCGAAGATGCAGCGCCGGAGGGGCAAGAAGTATGCGGAGGGGGTCATGGCGCAGCGCACTGGGCCGGTCACGGTCACTGACGACTACGACGACGCCGACCTGACCATGCTTATGGTGCCCCAGGATCGGAGGAGGAAGAGGTACGGTAGGTTCGTGTCGTGTCGACTGGCGGCGACCCCGCCAGCGGCGTTCAACTTTGAACGCCGCGGGCGGCCCAGGATCGTTCGATGTGGAACGATTTGGACGTGTCGCGAACGGCCAATCGTTCACGGTCGAACGATCCCCACGGTGTCCGAACCCAGCGCCGACGTCGGAACGACACGAGCCTGACGTACGAACGCCGCTTCCTTGCCGCATTTTCGTCTTTTTGGGGGCCTCCCGGGAGGCGCTCGCCGCCACGGCTGGATTCGCTTCGAGGTTCGGGAGCGACAGAGGGACGTACACGTACATGAGTCCACCTTGGCTCTGAGAGTGTGCATTGCGCGAATTTTCGTATCACGCGGACGGTCTCGCGGATCGAGGGGACGTGTTCATGTACATGGCTGGGCGCGTACGTCCTTTGTCGGCTCCCTAGAGGTTATGGTCAGAAGGTGCCCAGGGAGAGTGGCGGTAGCACTATCTCCGTTGGTTTACCCAGCAGGAGGCCGTCGGGTTTGTGACCGGGCGCGCGGGCAATTTCCTCCGCACCATCGAGGAGGAGTGGTGCGTGCTGATGTTCTTTTGCGAGGTCGGCGGCAAGGGGGGCCGTGGCAAGGACTACGAGAAGCTCGCCATCTTCGGGCAGGTGGAGGGCCGCCGCGGTGCAGAGCTCAAGGTCCTCAGCGCTGTGGAGACGAAGGTGCCCGGCAATTTTGAGAGGATCCGGGACGAGGTGCTGAAGCGGGACATCGGGAAGGACGGGACGGGCACGTGGGGCACAGACACCATGACGTTCCAGGACGACGAGCTCTCGTACGCCCTCGGGAAGCAGGGCGGCACCCGCAAGAAGCTCGCGAGGTCGTCCGGGGCGATCGTGCAGTACGTCGGCCACACCGCCCTGTTCTCGGGCGCCAAGAAGGAGAGGCGCAAGGGGAAGGAGTACATCAAGTGGCTATTCCTGCAGCTCGAGGGCCCCGTGTACGTGGACGACTGGGAGGGCCGCGACGACTGCACGGTCCTCGACATCCCGGGCGACTGCATCGGCTACATCACGGGTGCCCGCCGCGCCACGCTCGGCGCCTTGGAGGAAGTCGGACGGGCCTAGAATGGAGATACATCGGAACGCGCGGAGGAGGAGGAGGAGGAGGAGGAGGAGGAGAAAAGGAGGAGCCCTACTCCTGCCTCGGCGGGGACGGTGCCAGTCATGGGGATGGTGTCTGCTTAGGGGGGCTTTGGCGAGAGTGGCCAGCGCTGCCTCCTGGGGGAGGGCCCAAACCTCTCTCGCGCTCGGTGGGAACCCCCAAAGCGGCCACGAGGCTGACGTGCTGGGAACCCTTTGCCTGCCGGCAGGCGAGGGATCCCGCCGTCGGCCTCTGGGACGCCTCTGGGGACTTCCTGTGGGCAGAGGGGGAGGCCTTTGGGCCCTTTCCCGCCTGCGAGCGGCACCCGACAGTGGGCCCCGCGGAATCATCTCCGCGTTCACGTCTACCGCCTTTTCGCTCACGCCTAACCCTGCCTGCTCTTTGCAGGCCCTTTGACTCACCACCTCCATGCCGTCACTTCTGCCCACACGTCCTTTTCTCACCCTTCCGAGCAACTCACCTCCTCCCGCCCATCCTCTGACAAATGGGGCGCCCTTACGGGGGGGAGCCCTGTGCACCCGCTATGGCGGTGGCCTACACGGCCACGCGACCCGAAAGAGGGGGGCCCATGGAAGGCTTTTGCGGGGCCCAGCCCGTGCACCCGCCGCCGCGCTGCCGCCGCGCTGCCATCTTGCCTCTCTTTCCGTCCCTCTGTGATCACGAGCTGATGTCGACGTTGTGTCCCCTCCTCCTTCCCTCCCTCCTGTCGCGCGGGGCCTCGGCCCCGAAGTTTGTGCTTTGCTATACTCCCCCAGCAGGGGGCCCGACTGGGCCTCCCCGGGGGGAACGGCAGCGTTCGGATAACTCCGCTGCCGTCATTGCTTCATTGCCTCAGGAGGAGGAGGAGGAGGAGGAGGAGGAGGAGGAGGAGGGAGAGGACGAGGAGGAGGAGGAGGAGGAGGAGGGAGAGGAAGAAGAGGAAGAGGAGGAGGAGGAGCAGGAGGAAGAGGAGGAGGAGGAGGAGAACCAGTGCAAAACCAAGAGTCATCAACGATGTTGGAATTAACCCTCCCTCCACGCTCCCTCTTCATGGGCCCCCACAGCGTTTCATTTCCATTGAGGGAACTGCCTCGTTGGAAGACAACCGTTTTAAGATCCTGAAGCATGCCAAAACATTGTTCTCGGGATTTCAACGCCACGTATGAACCTGACTGCTGCGTCTTGACGATCCGGAATCGTGTCAGAGCGCCTTTTTGGAGACTTCGACTCCGCGAAACAACATAACTGCTGCACCCGCGTAATCCTGAATCGTTCCAAAACACCATCTCTGGTACGCTGATCATGGGAATCCGTGAAGCTCTTGCAAAGTTTGAGAACGAATGTGCGCGGCGCTAAAGGCGAGAGCCACATTTTGAACAGGAGCCGCCCTCAATCCGTGAAGCTCTGGCAATTGTTTGAAACGAATGTGCGCGGCGCTAAGGCGAGAGCCACATTTTGAAAACCACCCGCCCTCAATCCGTGAAACTCTGGCAACTTTTTAAAACGAAGGTGCGCGGCGCTAAGGCGAGAGTCACATTTTGAAAACCACCCGCCCTCAATCCGTGAAGCTCTTGCAAATGTTTAAAACGAATGTGCGCGGCGCAAAGGCGAGAGCCACATGTTGAAAACCATCCGCCCTCCATCTGTGAAACTGTTGTCACTTTTTGTTAAGATTCAGAGTCATCAATGGTGAGGAAGCCTCAGGCGAAACTGGCCTTGGGGTGCGACGGGGGGAGTTATCTTTAAGAAGAAGGGATGGAGGAACAGGAGCAGGAGCAGGAGAAGGAGCAGGAGCAGGAACAGGAGCAGGAGGAGCAGGAGCAGGAGGAGCAGGAGCAAGAGCAGGAGCAGGACCAGGAGCAGGATCAGAAGCAGGATCAGAAGCAGGAGGAGGAGGAGGAGGAGGAGGAAGACGGTTCCAGAGCGTTCCGGAACGTCGTCAGAGCGGTTCGGAACGCTCTGAAACGGCCGCGGCGCCCGATCCATTCTCCAAATTTGCCGATGATCAGGGATTTCCTATCCGTACCGGTGCGAGTTTGTCGCGATGCTGCCTTCGTCTCAGGAGGAGTGGGGCGTGCTGATGTTCTTCATGAGCAAGGGCGGGGACAAGGGCAGCGGCAAGCGAGGCGGCGGGTCCGAGATGCTCATCATCTGCGGCCCAGAGCGTGGGCGCCGAGGGGCGGAGCTCAAGGTGATGAGCGGCATCGAGAACAAGAATCCGGGGCACTTCACCAAGGTCGGCCCCGCGCAGAAGGGGGCATGGGGAGGGGGGGGGAGGCTTCTTCGAAGCACCCCTGCTTCTCAGAATGCGCGGGCCTCGCCTGCAGATGCGGGACGGGCGCCGTCTAAGAAGCAGCCTCCTTCCAAGAAGCCTTCCCCCTCCACCTACCCCCTTGCGCGCGCCGCGAACAAGGGCATCCGGGAGAAGACCTCGGATCGCCGCGGCTTCGATACGGACAGGTTCGTCTTCAAGGACGACGAGCTCAGCTACTCCCTCGGCAAGCAGGGCTCCACGCGCAAGAAGCTCGAGCGGGCGTCCGGGGCGATCCTGGAGTATGTCGGTCACGTGGCATTCGTCGCGGGGGACCTCAAGCAGCGCAAGCGCTGCAAGGAGTTCATCAACTGGCTCCTGCAGCAGCGGAAGGGCAGCGTCTGCATCCGCGACGTGTCCGAGCGCGAGGACGCCACGGAGATCCACGTTCCCGAGAACTGCAAGGGCTGGGTCACTGGCAACCGCGGCAGCGAGCTCCGGCGGATGGAGGAGGAGACCCAGACGTACATGTTCATGGCGGTGGACGAGGAAGGAGAAACGGCATGAACATCGCATCACTTTCGGAGATCCGCGCGGATCTCTGGCATCGGCGCGGGGACCCTCCTGGCGGCGTCTCCGGCGCTGCCCCTGCCGCGTTCCGCGCGCCCGGGAGGGGGCTCCCAGCACCGATCCGAGGCATCCGCGCGGACCCCCGGAAGGGATGCCCCTGCCGCCTTGGACCCTCCCAGGTGGACGAGCGGGGCGACGAGCGCCTCATCATCTTCTGCCACGACGCCGGCACCAAGACCGGGAGCACGGGGCGCATGGCGGCGGAGCGCCTCGTGAACGAGCTCATCCAGGAGAAGCTCCGGGACGACGGCGGCGGCGGCCGCGGGCGCTCCGACAGCCGTGGCCGCTCCCCGTCGCGGCGCAGGGACTCCAGGAGCGCAGGGCAGCGGCCACGCTCGGGAGGCCCCGGCGGTGTGGTGGCCGTGCCGCGTGGTGAGCCCGTGGGGGCTTTTGGGTCACCGCGCGGTTTTTGGGGGGCCTGGGTCCTGCTCCGAGGGCGCCTCCAGCGGCTGGGGCCTCTGGGGTCCCAACGCCGTGCGCCGTGCGGCGAGGGACCGCGCGGAGAGGCCCCTGGGGATCTCGAGGTCACCGCGCGGTCTGTCGCCACACGGTTCTGCGACCCCAGTACGCACTTTCACCGCCCAGGTGAGGATATGCCCGTCGAAGCCCGAAGGAAACAACATATGCGATCCTGGGTCGAGGGTTCGCAGCCCCCCCGCAGATGGGATGGGCCACGACGACGAGGACAAACGACGACGACGACGACGACGCCGACGCAGACGCCGACGCCGACGCCGACGCCGAGGCCGACGCTGACGACGACGACGACGACGACGACGACGACGACGACGACGCAGACGCAGACGCAGACGCAGACGCAGACGCCGACGCCGACGACGACGACGACGCCGACGCCGACGCCGACGCCGAGGCCGAGGCCGACGCCGACTGCAGACGCCGACGACGACACGACGACGACGACGACGACGACGACGACGACGACGACGGACGACGACGACGACGACGACGACGACGACGACGACGACGACGACGACGACGACGACGGACGACGGACGACGACGACGACGACGGAAGACGACGACGGACGACGACGACGACGACGACGACGACGACGACGACGACGGACGACGACGATG